AAATAACTCGTAAAAATTCTTCCGACAGGCGATTATAAGGACAAATGCCTTGCCTGGACCCAAATGTGTATGTAACCGTGTTACTTCACGACTCACCCATGTACCATTTATATAGGCGCTCCTAGTAATAATAGCCTTTCCCACCTTGGCACGACTGCTTCGTAGGAAATTAGGACTAAAAAATAATGATACTGTTGGCTGCGGCCAGATATTCTGACCACGCTGTAATGTCACACTAAAACTTTGAGGCATAATACGAACGCGACCTTCGATACGCAGTACATGGCCATCGGTAAATTTTTCGTCATTTTGAATTCGACCATAGAATGGTACGGTTAACTGGGCGTGGGGATTACGGCCACGCTCGAGGAACTTGGGTGGAGCATCAATATGGAGCCAATCGAGCGGCATGGTGGAATCAACCTCAAGCGAAAGATCCCTGAAGGGTTTGTCGATGTATTGTATAACGGTGGCCGCACTACGACTGACACGAATCGGATATTCCGTCACATAGAAGATGTCAATGACCATGTCAGATACATCACCACGCACCTCTACCCCTGTTAGCCATCTGTATGGCATACGGTAATTATACTGTGCGAAGTGAAAGCCATTTACCGAAATATAAAACGAATTGTCTGTCAGAAGCACCTGCATCCAAAAGGTTTTACCACGTTTCAGCTGAAAAGGTAAATTAGATGAATTTTCCTCTGGGCCCCACTTGCCCATTAATCGCGAATTGCGTACAATGTAGTTTTGTGGTAGGCGGGCCCCGATCTGCAAAACAACGTCGCAGGTATCACATCGTTCGTTTTTCTGCTTAGTCACAAAGTCGATCACAAAGTGCTCGCAGTCGCCAAGTATAAGTCCGTGAAAGAAAAAGCAAAGCCCGGGCACTGGTGGCTCAATCAGCTTGAACTGTTTTCTTCGACTAACAGCGCTGCGCTCTTCATAGAATATGGACATAGCATCCAAGTCACGCCGTAGGGCAATGCTGCGAGCGCCCTCGTAGATATTCATGGCCTTGCAGCCGCCTGCGACTGTTATGCATGCTCAAATAACGGCCTCTCTAAAAGTAGCGTGGTGGGTTTTAAATGTTTTACCGGAATAATTTTGTCAAGTGTCATGTGAAACAGTTTAAGTCAAATAACCAAGCAACAATATAAGGGAAATTTTCCTGATTTTTTTTATGGTTTAAATTTGAAAAGCAAATAACATTTTATTTAAAAATGTTAAATTGAACATTAAGGTTAATTATTTAAACTGCCGCAGTACAGTATTGTAATAATTTGATTTGTATCAAATTAATAACAAAGATATTATAATTATTGTTTAATTTTAATTTTGCATGTCTAAGAATGCAGCTTAGTACATCGTAGAAGTTTAAATAAAGTAGGCCAACAATAAAGATATAATTTTTTAAGAAACAAGACTTGCGCCCTAAAATATAAAAATAATGCAACACTGTCATGAAATAATACGCAGTAACTAAATCATATTTGTTAGAAAAGTAAATGTTGAAAAATTATTCACCATATATATGCACACATTAAGATTTTTCTCTACAACTTTGAAATGATATATACATACTTATGTACTTTCCAACATGTACATTAGTATATGCAAAGCAATGTATGGGATATTGTATTTTAAAAACAATATATATTGTAATTGGTTTTTTAATTCTTAAAACTAGGTTTGGTATTATTTTCACAAGAAATTATAATATTAACAGAGAGTAGCGTTTTTCGAAACTTATTCATAATTCACAACTAAAGTTAAATAAAAAGAGAAGATTGCTGGTTTATATTCATATTCTGGCTCACAACAAAATTTACTAACATCCTTACACATTGTTTTACACACGTTTTGCTTAGATAATTTGATTTAAAACACATTTTCCAAACGGTCTAAAAGCTTAATATTGTCATTAAGGCAGCTGGTATAACATAGGCTTTTAAAAGAAAAAACGTTCAAAGACGTGCCGCATATTTCATAACCTAATACTCTTCTGTATAAATAGGATTATGATAGATACGCACATTTTTGCCCTTAATCATTGGATTTGGTTCTAATGAAACATTCCACAGCTTTACATCACCCTGAATGTATACCGTATCCACAATATCCGGCTTAACGTGGAACTTAAATTCAGTAATAAACTTATGGTTAACATAGACTTCAAAAGAATCCTTGGAGCAGACAATTGCTAAACAGAATGTACGGCCCGGTCTTAAGTTTGTGTCCAATTCGGAACGTTCTTCTTGAGCCCAACTTCCATCATACCAAGCGTTACGGCACACTACCGCTTTACCTATGGCACCACTGCTCGTTTGCGAAAAACGTGGATTCAAATGGAATGCAATAACGGGATGTGGCCAAATATTCTGTCCTTGCTGCAAATTTATGTAAAATGAATGTGGCAACAGACGTACACGGCCCTCAATCTTTAAGCAACGGCCTTCTTTTAATGATTTTGGTGTAATTCCGCCGTAATATGGAAGCGTAAGACCTTGATCTGCAGAAACTTGGCAGGTTTTTGATGAATTGTCCGATATTTTAGCGGGAGCGCTAATTAGACACCACTCGCGGGGTATACTGATAATCTCCTCAGCATTGGCATCAACCTCGTCCATTTCTGCAGAAAGATGTTCCTCTATAACTCTTGCTGCTGATTCTTTCAGTCGTTGTGGGTAACTCTGAACTATAGTACGCTGCATTTCCACATCCTCCACATCACCTTTGACTTCAAGATGTTTAACACCGCTGTAGGGTACGCGGTGCGAATACTCAGTAAAGTGATGACCATTTATAGATATCATGTAACAAACGTCTGTAATGAACACTTGAATAGCAAATCTATCCCCACGGCGGAGTAAAAACGGCAGCGCTGAAGACACTTCCTCACGGCCCCAAACATCATGGACCTTGGTGTTACGTACAATATAGTTTTGAGGAAGGCGGGGGTTGATGTGTAGTGCGACATCCCGTGTTTCATTTTTGTACATAAAATTAATGGAAAATCTGTGGGTATATATATTATTTTAGTAAACGACAGACGAATATGATTTATCCGAGTCAGTCACCGCTCGCAGTTGATGGCAATTTTTCCAGTGAAGGTAAAGCTAACGCCTTCGCAGAGTTGGCCAATTTCATCAGTAGAATACTTGGGCTGCGCATCAGAGTATTCATAAAAAGACGCCTAAAGTGAATATTAAATTATGTATTGTTAATATTTAAATTATCTACATTACAATGCTTCCTAGCTGTTCACTTTGGCGTTCAAAGCTGAATATATCAAATATAGATAACATCGACATTTCAACAATTCCATGTGCAACAAAAAATGCCTACTGCGTTCTCTTAAAAGTACTTATTATTATTGAAAAAGGATATTATTTATCTTTCAAGGGTTAAACGTAAGTCTATACCTACACAAGTTAGTCTAATTATAAAAATAACTGCTATTGTCAAAGTATATACCATATATGACATATATTGCATATGTATTTTTCATTTATAAGGTTTTAAACTTGATAAACGGAATACAGAGTTTTTCATTTAGAAGTTGCACATATAAACAGAATATTTTAAGTATATTATAATTATTTTTTTTAAAGCTAGTCCTTGACTCACTGGCTTACCTCATTCAAACCACCCTTTCTTCCAGAATGACAACAGCTAAACAGTTTTCTGCACAAAGTCTTAAAGCACATCGCTTGAACTGTTTAGTTATAGATGCGTATATATTTAATCACAGCCAGGCTTAGTAGTAACGCTTTATGGATTTTATGATGTAAATAAACTGTACATATACGCACATATATGTTATTATAGTCTTAAAAAGGTTTTCCCGTTATAAGTAAACAGAGTTGTACAAAAGTAAAAACAACTTTTTGTATACGAGGTCAGCGAAGCCAAAGTGCATATATCATATTAAAATTTTATATTATCACAGTTATTATTTTGCATCTCATATTTTGTTACAACCCCACTACATAGATTTTTTAGTTTATTTATCGAACATCCACTGCTATAGCAATTATTTCTACTTATTATAAAGTCTCACATTACGCTGAGTCTCGCCCAAAATGAGAAAAACTCAAAGCAAAAGCGCAGTGTTGAAAAGCTTATTCATATACATATATGTACATACGTTGGTTTAACTCGAAGACATGAGTAGAATATTAATGATCGATGACGATATTGTTAAATAATATAATATAATATAAAAAAATGCATAAACATATCAAAATAAAAGTACAAGCCTTACATGTGCATAATGGCAACAACATAGGGTGAGACTATTGTGTATGCCACGACTGTAACAAACAGCTGTGCAAAAGCTCACATAAAATGAGAAGGAGAATAAGTGACAGAAAGCCCGATAAATGTCAAACAAAGAAGCAACCACTGAAAGTTGCTCTCATCGAAACTCGGACAACGTCTGACAGACATTTAACAAGTTGAATAATACGTAATTGAAGAATGAGAAGTCTCAACGAAGACCATTTCAATACAATATGTACATATGTATGTACGCATTACCATTTAATAAACTAAACACAAGAAATGCTTACGCTTGTCTCTCACGTACATTAAAATCCATACCATTTACAATTTCGATATCACTCAAAGAATCCGCTTGCTGATGGTCGAAATGTTCAATAGCTTGGTAACTCGTCGAAGCTTCAATAGCTGCAAAATCGATGTCCGTTGCCGCAGCATGTTGCATGCTTTTTATTGCGTTATAGCCCGATAGGCTCGTATACTGACGCAACCAGTGTTCTCGACAGTAAAACCAAAACAATCGGAGTCGATGCTTTGTATGGTAATATTGTAAGCTTCGTGCGAAATTAAATTCGTTATGCCAAAATGCATCCGACAGATCGTAGAGTTCGCGTATTAACAACGTGATTGCAGTCATACTAACCGGTTGACAGCGAGCACGACAAGAGTTCTCGCTTTTGAGATGCTTAGAGCTTGCACTCAATGTGTTCGCTCTGCCTCTTTTTTTTCTCTCTCTCTCTCTCTCTCTCTCTCACTTTCTGCTTTTTACTTTCCGAGCAAACGAATTGAATATATGTAAGTGTATGTATACAAGTTAACACATGTATTTTTTAATTTGTATATCTCTCTTAGCTCTCCAACAAGCTACTATACGCTACACACTAAAGTCATAGACTGTTTCATAGTTATCATAGTCCATACATAAATATGTTGTTTTTCTCTGATAGCGCCCACACACGGAATTATATAAATAATATATACATATGTACGTAATAAAAATATTGCAAGATTTTTACAAGATATCCTCTACACTTGGCGATAAAGTATTATATTTTACTATACATACGGATGATATACTTACATCATTAAGGTTTAGATGTAAATAATTCTCTTCATCACTGTTACAATCCGCAACACGTTTGCGTTTTCCGCAGCAGCAGCTCATTGAATCGACCTACACCGTCTACTCTTTCCAACAAGTTTTATTATCGAATGTGTTCAAAATAAGCCTCTTATCTGTGACAAAAGCAACTCGTAGTAATATTGCACATTATAGATAAATGGTTGAATGTGTGTTAGAATGAGAACATTTGAATGTATAAATATGAGCACGTATATATAAAACGGTACATTACATTTTTCCACTACGATTCACTCTCCTTTTGCGAGAAGCCTTGCAACAAGTGTTTAAAGTACAAAAAAAAAGTTTAAATAAATTAAGAGTAATAGTCACATTTATTTTAAATTTCCCTCGTTTCTATACAACCGCTGCTACTCACGTATAATGTTCAACTGATGTTTTGCTTATAATTATTTTGTCATTATCCGTATGTACATTTTCACATACATACATGCATGCAAAACACAACGCTAAAATCTACTCACGGGCTCTTGGGGGGCCGTGAGATCATATGCATACAGCCGTGATCTATTCTTTCTCTTTATTTATTCTTTTTGTCGCGGTACACCTGCGATATCGGTGAAAACGCAAAGATAGCTTGCAAAGCAATTGATATACGACATGCCGAAATTTAAATACCATAGCAAATATTATAAATATTTGTATATATTTAAAAGTGCTTTCATATAATAACTCGCCATTTGTCCGATTTATTTTGTAGGTGCTATGTACTTCAGTTTGACGATAAGATTTTGAAGATCGGACTTTTCTAGTTTGGCTGTTTATATCTTAAAAATTTACCTAAAATCCCGTCTTAGCGTACACCTCCATTCGATAAGCTAACTACAGTAAAAACTTTTTTTTACGAGTCTACGGGTTGGGCGTTGATGCGTTGATCACCGATCACTCAGTCTGGACAAACAGTTCTACACATATATATATATATATATATATATATATATATATATATATATATATATATATATATACTGACTGCGACTTAAAGAAGGGAGCATATATATATATATATATATATACTGACTGGGACTTAAAGAAGGGAGCATAATTAACAAACTAATCAAACAAAGCATAACAAATCTTGAGCCTCCCTGCCACACTTGAGTATGGATAGATATTCAAAGTTTTAAGTCTTAAGTTTTCATAGTAACATAAAACTAATGGACACTGCACAACGTTAATATACTCTACTCCACTTTACATATACATTAGTTAGTCTATAATAAACTAAGCTAAACAAGTAAGAGGTTCTAGTCGGGAACTCCCGACTAGGGGATACCCTGAACCCTCTTCTTCTAACATCAAATGTATATATATATTCTATTTTAGAATTTGTCAAGTTTGGTGACTCTAGCTCTTATTATTTACCAAAATTGCCCGAAAAAGAGGATATCGATATCGATTTTTATCGATTGCTTAGAAATGGAGTAAGTTATCGATTATCGGAAACAAACTCGATCTGCGCAGGCACTAGGAGCACCTCCATCTAAAATTTTAAGTCTCTAGTTCTGAATCCTTGCGTTCATACATACGGACAGACGGACGGACATGGCTATATCGGCTATTGGTGCTGATCAAGAATATATATACTTTATGGGGTCGGAGATACTTCCTTCTGCCTGTTACATACATTTGGGCATTTGTTCAGGGTATAAAAAAAGCATTTATAATTATAACAATAAAATTTGCCAGATCTAAATAAACATTGATTTTCACAAAAACGGAAAATTTTTGATAATTATATTACTATATTATATTACTACATTGATGGTAATGCCCATACTATTTTTAACCACGTTTTCTTTATAAAACGAACTAAAAAAGTATTGCTAAATGCCAATTGGAATATGCCCAAATCCGTTTTGCAATAGCATTTTGTTGAGAAATTAATTATGCCAAAGAAAACAACATTTTATTATTTTCATATAACGTGATTGCTTATAAGGACAATTCATATATTCAACTCTTGTTGAATAATAGTTAAACTATTTACTAATAAAGTACGTATATACTGTGTACACTGCGTCTTAATGAAATATGAAAAATGTTAACAATATCTGCGCATATTTTATATGCCAGACGAGGGAGCGAACAGTTTATTATTAAAACTGCCATACTCAACAATTTAACGGTGCCTGGTCGATCGCCTTCCCATAGCATGCTGTGACTTTGATGTCGACATTGCCTTATCGCCCCCAGGAGACTTATAATACTTGGACATGGTTTTGCTTGTGCGCGTAGGGCGATTAACTTGATCCGTGATTTTTTCTGATTCAGTTTTCAAAGGTAAATCATCGTCTTCATCCCATCGGTCACTTTTCCCCTCTTCGGCACCAGAGTCTTCGTCATTGCCATCAGTTTTTGACTTATTACGATTTCTACGATTGCGTGACGACGAAGAGCTTACATCAGTGCGTTCCGATTTCTCACTAAAATAATATTTAAATTTATAAAAAAAAGAAGATTGGAAGCAGGTGTTATACTTACTCCTTGACCGACAAACTGTTTTTTTCTGCATTCTTTGTTTTGCGCTTTAATAATGCCAATTCGCGCTCAGCAATAGCCTTTTTGTGTTCCTCCGAAGAGTCACCGGCAACCGGTTTTGTAGTCGAATCCGCCATCTGCTTTACGGGCTCCTCTTGTTTAACGCGCTTTAGCTGTTGCTGCTGTTCTTGCGCCTGTTTTAACGATCGCTTTAATGCACTGCGCAACGTGTCACGGGAACTTTCCGTTGGGGCGTCTTTTCCCGGTTGCGGCAAGCCTATAGCTTCCAAAAGTTTTTGGCCAAGCGCAGACTTAACATTTGTTCTACGTGTGCTTGCAATCGTTGGTTTGGCGATATTGGCGGCTGTGTCTTCAGTAGCACATCCGAGCTCTAGATTACTGCTGTTAATGGGAATAGCTTCCGGTACTGTGCTGGAAGGTGCTTGTGGTGCTTCCCTTGTGTGCTGATTAGTAGAAGTTTCAATGTTTTGAGAACGATCGGCAGTGCAGACAGTCTCCTCTGTGACCTCATATTGTTCACCCTCAGTCTTACAATTATCTTCATCTGTTTTCGGTATGGGAATCTCTTCTCTGCTTTTGGTTTTTGGACAACTTTGTTTCGACGCCTGCACAACGGCCTTGCGTCGCTTGATGATGGGCCGAGTTACAGGGGGAGGTTCAGGTAATTGGAGTGGCATCGGGAAGGTCGAAATATCACCATCAGGTGCTGGCGGAGTCTCTAGTAATGGTTGTGGTTCAACTAGAACAATATCTTCTAAATTCAGGGGAGCGCTTGTCGAAGCACTACGGCGACGGCGAATCGGACGCTGGCTTTTCGATGCCTGCTGTTGCTTTAACATAGAAATTAGCGCTTCGTTAATCACATCAGCTGGATTTTGGCCAAATTGTGAGATTAACATGGCATTAATGTTAAGCAATTCGTTTGTAACATGCGCGGCATTTGATGTGCTAGCAATGTCCGCAGTGCAAGACTGTCCATTTGCACCCAATTCACGCATACGTGACTTTCGCTGAGGTCGCTTTGAGTGAGGGTCCACTGGTTTATTTGTTAATATTTGTGGATGATCCGGATCTGTTGGACTGGATGGCACCAATTGTACCGAAGTTTCTGGTGGTAATTTATACGGCATCGTGCAGTCTCCTATAGTCTGTAGTTCAGTTGCTGCTGACGGACTCGCGCGTGGTGAAGGAGTCTTATTAGGATTAGCGGACGAATTTGGACGCTGTTGCTGCACAATAGCCATCATTGGGCCTAGGTATGGACCCAGTAGCTGCGTCAGATCGTTATCTTGCAAAAGGTTGCTGTCCGACATAATCACCGCAAATTTCGAGTTTTTCAGTCTCGCCATTTGCTCTTCACAATTATCGGTTGTGACCGGCCATTTGAGAGCCTTAAGTATTAGCTTCAGTAGGTCTGGATCTCGAATGACATTACCTAGCGAAATAGCGTCGGTAAGGCTGCTCATGCTTGGTAGTGTTTTAGATTTAGCAGCTGGTAAAGGATCTGGCATTGAACCACCGTCGCTAGGTGCTCGCACAGATTTTGAAATTTTTTGTAGCTTCGGTGGACCTGAGAGGGCTTGAGTAGCATGCTCTTCCTTTTTTTTCTTAGGTGCAGCTATAATGATATGTTCTGGAAGCGCCTCCTCCACAGACGGTTCTACTCCATACAACGATTGGTGTGGCACCACAGTGGTAGTGACAAGGGGTCTAATATCAATATCGTCCACATTGTGGCGTTGATGCGCCGATTTTAAAAGGGATACCTGCCCATCGCGTATGGCATTGATGTTGTTTAAGGCATTTTTAAGATTCCGTCGCTTTTGTTGAAGTACGCTATTAGGCAGAATAGGTACGCCAGCGATGCAGACACTCTGTGAGGCAGAAGAAGCCTGAGGCTTTCTGACATGCATGGAACTACTATTACCGGCACTGTATCCCTTATTAGTTGCACTTGTGGTGATTGTAGGTGCACTGCCTGTGATGCGCCCATGAGTCTGTATGAAGTTAATTACACATGCTGGTGAATTTCTCTTTTCTGGGCTACTCTTCGTGGCCTTGGAAATAGACACCTCAGAATGTAAAGGTGCTAAGGATGGCGGCATTTGCATTGAACGCTGTGCTATTGACATCGGTGCGGAACTGTATCGCATGTCCACAAATACGCTGTTCCGCCGAGTCGGGAGCATTAGGTTATTAATTTTAGCGTTGCTACGACTATTGGGATATTCATTCGGTTCGCGTTGCTGCTTCTGCTGGCGCCGCATCTCACTGTCTTTATTAGTCAAACCGATTACAACGTCGTCATGTGCTTGATTCCCTGCCAATTGATGCGAATTCAATGCAATGGTCGTCTCCGGTTGACGAGTTAATAATATAGGATGAA